TTTTATAGTTTTTTTAAGCTTAACAGATTTGTTTGTGCAGGTGAGTTATACGGCCAGGTGCACATAATATAGGGGGCTAATCGTCACAATACGTCAAATCATTAACTAAAGTATGCTCATTAACTTTTTTGTTAATTTGTGCACTGCACGAGCCGTAGCGCTCCACCGTGCTTCCCATGTGCTTCAAGTATTTCTAATATTGACTAATTTAGTGGTTTAAAATTAGAAACTGGCCGAGCATCATTGAAAACCACTAGATCAGTCAATATTAAAAAGACTGAGCCCACCGGAAGCGCAGTAATGCGCTAAAGTTACCGCTCGTGCTACAGGCACAATGCTGGGGCTATGATTATAATAAAAACCGCGCGGGCGCCTTATAGGGAGTATTCACTGGCGGCCATAGCTGTGTGCGCGACTGCTGAGCGCGTGCTGATGGCTAGCTTTCAGGGTTCTTTTTCAACGTGCATTCCACACCGTCAAAATGGCCGGTCTTAGCAGCCTATTAATGGGGGCTCGTTCTGAGCATGCGCTCTAGACAGTAACCACAAATATGGCGCCCAGTGAATACTCCTTATGGCACCGGCAGCCTGTCTCCTGCTGCACGAGCTTTAGCGCTCCACTGTGCTTCCGATGTGCACAGAGTCTCTCGAAAATAACTGATATAGTGGTTTTCGATGATGCTCAACCAATTTAAATTAGTGCCATATGTTTATTTTCAATAATTATAAGTTAATTAAGATATTTTAGTAAATTATGCAACTAATCGTTATGATTAAACCCCTATATCATGTCCCCCTGGACGTATAACTCACCTGCACAAACCGCATTAGTGTAGCTTTCACGGCTTTTCATAAACAAATCTGTTAAGCTTTGAAACAAAAACAAAAAAAAAAGACAAAAAAAGAAACAACTCCCTGTATAATAAGTACCTGATATCTAACGTACTACCCACGTAAATAGTACCAAATGTATGTATCGTCATTATGAAACCTCGCGGCTACATTTAATTGATCCAGACGCTTTGCTAGTGTACAGCGGTGAAAAAAAAAAAAAAAAAAAAAAAAGACTTTTGAGTGCGAAGAATAACTGGTAACTGTCGGCACGTATCGATTGAATTTTCAGCGTCTGCCCTCCTGATGCTTCTTTGACCGCTCTTTGGCTCTTTTTGTGCGGTTCTGGTCACCCACCGAGCCAATCACGCACAGTGAATGCCTCGTGAGCTTTTTTTGCCGGTCTCCGCCATCTGCCTAGTGAAACACCGCGGGCGCTTTTGCTTGGAGCCGCCTTGGCCCGGGGGCCCCGCCCGCGTTGCGCCTTCTTAATTTACGGCGTTTCCCGAGAAGCGATTGCGCACTTCTGTACGGCGGTGAGGTGGCCACGGGAAGCTACGTAATTCTTTACCTGCCCGCTCGGAGACGCTCGGATTTATGGTGTCACGGCTTGGGGCTAATGAGCTGGCGTTACATTGCGCACCGTGGCTTCCAGTTGTATCTAAGTTGCGCGGTGACTATCCATCTCCAGTACGTGATCCTAAAAATGCAAAAAAAAAAAAACAAAAAAAAACAGCTTCGGTAATCTTAAGGCTACGAAAAATTAAGAATCCAATTAGCACTGAAAGCAACGTCCCTGTTACAAAAAGGAAAACCCTATTGAAGATCCCTACTCGGGGAGGAAGGAGGGTGTAAGGGGGGGGGGGGGGGGGGATGTAGGTAGGTAGGTATCTTCAATAGGGTTTCGACGCATCTGTTTTTTGTTGTCTAATATCATGCTCCATTGCGAGGAAGTCTACATTCAGGCCCCCGAGATGTTGCATGATGCCTCGAACTGCGAAAGCCCGGAGGTCAAACAAATCGTTGATGTGGTGACCTACGCCATATTTGCTTTAACATTTTTTTTTGTGATAGCTTTGGTGTTGATTTAACATCCTTTCTTCTCTGTTCGTCGATCAAATCGATATATATATATATATATATATATATATATATATATATATATATATATATATATATATATATATATATATATTGTGCTCTACTTCAATATGTCATAGCAACTTCAAAAATTGTTCGCGTTTTTGTCATCCTAAGAAACCCCACCGAACATAATCGGCGTCCCGCACAATTATTCTGGCCCGATACAATGGATATATCATTACCATTACCATCCAGCAAAATATAGCCACGGTGAACGGTTTCTCTCGGTTTGAGTGCTTATCAAAGGTTGCCTATGGAATCGAGTGAACTTACAAATTCCAACTTTCCCTGCTAGCGCCGATAACTTTAGTGCAAAACTTGGAGATCCGAAGACGCTACTGCTTCTCCGGTTCGTGCTGTCGCTGCTGTCGCCTCACTTCGGCTTTACGGGCACGCAGATAAACATACACACTCCCGCTCGTTCCCAAACCGTGCAAGCGTGCCTTGCGTGGCGTGCCTTGCGTGGCTTTTTTGCGACACGAGCCTTAACGCTATCGCTTTAATACTTACCACGACAGTACTGTAGCCACACGTTTCTTCAACTATACTCATTGATTGTCGCTAGAGGGTGTAACCGTGTAATAAAGACACAGGGAGGTATACAGGATTGCTTCTTGTAAAAGGGGGGCCCCATTGGGGCATTACATAGGGGGGGGGGGGGGAGAGGGGGAAGGGGGGGGGGGGAGCGGGTACAGTACCGGGAGGCATGCATGTAGAACTTTAAACGTATAAAAAACGAAAACAGTAATAAGATGTGGCCTAACAGTGGCCACACACGAAGACATGACGCTGGTTAGGTATTTATTAACTATGGATGGCACGGCATTTCTAAAACGATCGGGGTCACTGATGTGCACAGTATGATTCGGCAGATTATTCCCCTCTAATATAGTAAGGGGAACAACAACTTCATTGTGCAAATTCAATTGTTCACTTTCCACGTACGCGAAAAGAAATAAGAAGTACAACCTCCGTCGTGATTCATATTTAGCACTTTTCAGAAAGATCAGATCTATTCACTCAGTGTATTATCGTCGAGCACTTAAACATGACGCCATATTCGTAAAAACTTCGTGACCTTTCGGCTAAGTTACACGAGGCGGGTTTCCACTAACTTACAGCCGTTTTTCGATTCCACGGTTAGTGAATGCCCGAAGTCTTTCGACCCATCCCCTTCGCCGAATCCAGACGTGCGCACAGAGCCCAAATAATGTGTCCAGAAAGCAAAGATGCGAAGAGACTTTTATAGTCGGGCAGCGTTCGACGTGCGTGCTTCGAAGGCCCTCCCGCCCCGTGTCACGTCACGGTCGAGCGACTTTGGAGCACGCCAAAGCGGGGAGCGAGATAGAGCCCCAGGAATTACAATTAACGTACACCACTGGGCAGCCTTGCTGCCTTCGAGCGGAGAGGACCGCGCGCTCTTCACGCTGCGCTGGCGGCACAGAGATTCGAATCTGGGTCGAGACGCCCTTTCAAGTCCATCCTTCAGAGAGCCAGGTTGGACGCGGCGGAGGGACAAAACAAAAGCGTCCCTGGTTCCGCGTCCCCTGGACTCGCAACAGCGTGACACTCCGTGACGTCACCGCTGGACTCTGCCCAAGTCCCTGCCCCTCCGGAAAAAGAAAAAGGCACCTCACTCAGTGACGTAATAAAAGATCAAGAGTTTCACGCCTGAACTATACGTGGCTTGACTGACGTCACACCAGCGGCTATTATGGCGACCTTGCTGCTGTAGCGTACATATCGCACCACCGAATTTGTTTTTCTCGGCAAGAACAAATAGAAATGACCACCAGCAGGATGTAAGCCATGCGTAGCTGCCCTCGGGGACATTTTTTTTTTTTTTTTTTAACAGCTGGGAGGTCATTTTTGTACGCACACTTGTTGCGGAATAACAATAAAACTAAATAGAGACTTGTGATGGGGGGTACGGAAGCCCGAAAGGATAAACTCTGAAGACGCGCATACTCCTTTGCCATGTTCTACGGAGGTGCTTCATTAGGGTACTTCATACCCTATGCAAGCCATCTGTCGCGACCTAAACATCATCTGCCTGAGCCACAGTGCATTGTCGAACGCCCGAGTGCAGTTCTAAGCGACTTACCCGTCTCCGTATCTATCCAGCCGTATTTCCGGTCCGGCGACTAATGTACGAGTAGACGGCGAAGCGGCAGCATACCGTAACTGTAATGTGTAGTCCGAGCCACGCTACCCTTTGTGGTACGTGGCCCAGTCGCTCGTTCCTCTGGGGTCAATGAGGCAAACGAAGCGTGCTATGGAAGGGCCTTCTGAAGATGCAAGCCTGCCAGCAGTTGACAATGCTCACGAAAAGTCGAGCTAGCCGTCAACTGAGAAGTTGTTCGCGTGATAGTGTCCATGCAGGCACAAAAGGCACAACTGCCGCACGCAGTGAAGGGCAGGGGTCGTGCGCCGAACAATGTTATTAAAAAGCGCGTGTTTCTGTTTGGACAAGTAAACAAAAACATACACCACCATTAGAGGTAGACACATTAGCGAAGAACGAACCATGGAACATTGTAGTTGCCTGCAGTTTTTTTAAAGATCGAAACCATTCTTTCAGTGATGCCCGATGCTTAGATATCAAAGGAAAATACGTGCCTTAGACAATAGTCATTATATTTATTATCGCCTATTTCTCGGTGGAAGCCTAATTTACAGTTTATCCATAAATATTTATTATAATATGTTTATGGTTGTTTAAGATACGAGTGCCTAACCCCCATTACCACCTTTTTGCTAAACGTCTGCTGACTTTTTGAACTGGACGGGAATATTGGGTCCCACTAATAACCTAAATCCAGCAAGGTCGGAGACAACAACTTTATAGGACAACTTTCTCTTGGTAGTTCCCGTGTGACTACACAGACAAAACAAGCGTTTAATTATTTCCTCGAATACCATTCAAAATCAGAGTTATATTTGGAATGCGCAAAAAAAACACATAAAAAATTACCACTATACATCCCATAATCATGCTCTACTTGTAATATATGGTTTTATTTCTAGGAGACGCCAACCCTTGCGCCGTACCCTACGGAGTCATCGAGGTGCTGAAGACGTCAAAGAGATCCCTGGCTGGTCCTATTGTCCACTCGCCGGAATCGTGGGGCGCTTCCGAGCCTCGAGCGTGGAGAGCACCGGAAGATCGCTCCGGCTACAAGCCTCTCCAGGTATTCCAGACGACCATGGTGCTCACCGACGAAGAATATTTTGCTTCCTTTCACCCTGACGAATCACAACGCAATGAACAAACGTACGGTCGGGACCTACCTGCTGATGGAACAGCTCAGCACGTCGTTGAAGGAGGCAAAAAGATGCCAACGCAGGACCGGAACAAGAGCAAGAGAGTGGAGTCCATGTCAAAAGACGTCTACCCGATTTCTCCTAAGGCCGACGTCCGGATCTTGAGGAGTCACCTGGAAGGTTTCTTGAGCGACATGAGGAACGATCTTAGCAAGGACCTCAAAGAGGAAGCGAGGGTCCGCATCTTTAACGGATTCCTCGAGTACGGACTAGACACTCGCTACCAGAACTTTAGCGGAGAACTGTACCGGGACCTGGTAAGCATTGGGAGAGTCACGATCTCGCTTGCTCATTCCTACGGGTTTAAAGCGTATACATCCAGGGATATTCTCTACCATGTAGAAGAAGAAAGAAAATAGATGCTTAAAGAGACCCGATATTGGGTTGCAATATTTCTCGGTTTAATTTACACACGCATAGTGGCTCTATAATCCGAGAAGCTTTGGGGCGGTGTAATTTCAAAGATAAAAGTGGACTACCTAATTCTTTTAGTCTCTTCTTTTTACAGCTTGGTGACGTAGTCTCGGGAATTTCTCCTCGATGACAGGAGTTTAATGCGGCTTATGCACTGGACGTCAGCACTGAGTGAGCACTCAACTTGCGCATGTGACAATCTATTTATTGTCTTTTAGAATTTTCAAGGGAATTTAATTAGGTTTCGTATGCTCTACTAAGCCACAGTTAAGCTTCGAGCATTAAATAATCTCCCTTACATGCTCGAGTGAATAGTTGGGTTCTTAACAAATCGTTCACAGAATGTATGTAAGTGTCAACCATACTAATAATAATTATTTGGCGTCTGTTGATTCTGGAGTATACCCAGAAGGCTCGGTAATCGGTCCTTTATTGTTCGTAATTTATATTAACGACCCAGTAGTTAAAATGTCTTCACCAATCTGCTTCTTCGCTGATGTCTAGTAGACTACGTTTTTTACCGTAACATAACTGATCAATCTGGCATTTCTCAACCTCAGACGAACCTTGAATACATATCGCAATGGTGCGGTTCTTGGCTAATGGAACCATACGCGTATAAATGACAATACATGCAAATCAATGAGAGCATCCCGCTCTAGCACCACATGTCCCGCTTATCACCTAAACAATGGAACCCTGACATTTGTTTCTGCCAACAAATATACCTAGCGTCTTTATTAATTGCGAATTTTCCTGAAATAACTAGATTGAGTACGTTACAGGCAAAACAAAAAATGCTAACTGCATGCTGCAGGTTATTTAAAGTCTAATTTATTTCAAGCTCCTTCATCAGTGAAACGAATTCTTGCACAAGTGCCTTGTGCGTTCAGTATTACAATATACATATAGCAAAATGGAATCCCGGTCAATCAGTGCATTAGAAGATATCCAGAAGCTCAATTTATCTCATCTTATCATCGCATGGTCAGTGTCACTAACATTAAAACACCTTAAAGCCACAGTCACACATCGATGGTACATCATGCAAAAGACGGTATTCCCTGCACGCAGACATCATGACACAATTATCATGCGGATTCAGGCGTGTTCGCTTCGAAGCGTGTTTCTTTCACATATATGTGTGTCTCGAACATGTCTCCTGACAGTTTTTTGAATGACCAATGTGGCAGGACTGTCATACGAGGAGGAAACGCGCCTCCGTGAGTGTGCTGACTGTCTCTTGTATGTTAGCAGTGGAATCGTGGCTTTAGATATAGCGTTACCTAACTTGCGTTCTTGCAGCTTGTCTATGCTTATTCCATAATATTTACCATCGCAACCCATTTCTACGTCTAAAACGTATACTTGAACCATCTTATCACCTTGCTCGCCTCGATCACATTCATAGAGTTGACAGATCCGCGAGCTTGAACACGTCCCAACAATTCAACGATTCCGCGTCGTAGTTATACCTCGCGCAAGTCAAACGACTGGAACTACGCCTTCCCGCTCCAGTCACATTAATTACTGACGTTTTGCTTTTTAGAGAAACTCTTATTTTAGAGAAGCCCTTAGTTTAATTTAATTTAATTTAATTTACATTTTAAAATATAATCTATATGTTTTTAGTGCGTATCCAACATACTTCGTATACTTAAAGGAAATAAATAAAGCAATAAATGTCTCGCCCAACACTTGGGCTTGTGGCCAGTCGCTGTAATGCGGGAATAGTCGAACGCTAACAATGTCTGGAGCTCAGTACGTGCCCCGATTTCTTTGCTAACCCCAGCATGCGACTATAATGAAGATTAGCGGCATATAATCAACGCCAGATCACGTGGCCGCTTGTTCTGACGGCTAGTTGAGGGAGTGGACCATGCTTGGTTTTCTCTTATATATGCTATATATTTATGTATATATATATATTTTTACTCCTATTGCGTGGAGGAAAAAAATTAACGCGCGTGTCGTGGATTGTAAACACTTGAAGGATTAATTATATGCAGTATTTACTGAAAGTTCAAAACTCGTTGCACGCCCCATTAATGGCACAGCACCAGCTAAGGCTATAGTGTGCGATAAACAAGGTAAACTAGAGGAAATGCTATAGTACGTAGAAGCTTATTATAGGTACTTTTCAGGTTAGTTAATGACTAGCTACCGATGACTGTCCTCACCGCGTGCATATAACGAGCTTTGAAGTGCAGGGCAAATTGGGTAGACTAATCTGTCCCTTGCTGTTGCTAAAGTTGCAGCAATCCATCACGAAAGATAGGAAAGAAAAGCTGACGAAGACACATCGAGCATCTCCTTGCCTCGTACGTTAAAGTCGGGCATTTAATTTCCCATTCAAGTGCGCAACTTAATCTTCTGGAGACTTGCGCTCTCGGCCCGAGACGTTGAGGCCAGGCGCCGTTGCAGCATTTTCACCAACCAGACGTGCGTTCAGAGCGCATGGCAGTAATCGATCAAGACAGACACGCGGTTTCTTTTTATTCCGGTCTTTTGTTTAATTGTTTCATTTTATTGCTATCAGACTTCGTACAGATTAAAAGCTGCCAAGCTTTTATCAAGGAAGAAAGATCAACGGATTTTCCTTCTTTGACGGATAGATCAGTCAATTCATGCTCTTGTATTTAAAAATTTAAACTGCTAAATGATCTGCTAAATTAGACTGCCGAGATTACATACACTTGAACACGTCCAGGTCAAGAGGAAATGAAGCACAAATCGCTCACTGAATAAATGTGCAGGGCTGACTGCTTCAAATACTCCTGTTTTCTGCATTCGGAATGATTGGAATTTTCTCCCTGAACCGATGACCTCGTGAAAATCCGCAACATCGTTATTATTGAGAGTTGCTAGATTTTTGTGCTTTGGTGTTTCTTGAATGTTTTGTTCAATCATGTCAAGTTACGTTGTTTGTTGCTTTTTTTATGAAATGGTAATTATGTTATTTTTTTACCCTCGTCTCGTTAAAGCAGATTCGAAGACACGTAATGCGGTGTTACACGTATTTGAACTAATTCTGCAGTTCAACCTCACATACACATTTTCTAATGAACCGTCTAAATGAATTTCTTCTACATTGGCTGCCCATCGGCAGCAGGTAGTACCTACTTATTTGTTATTTACTATAAGTAAATAACAAATAGAAGTTAAACAAATGACAACAAACGGTCAGAAGACATTACTGGCGTGCGTAGGACGATATGCACTCGCTTTTATATGGTGCTCTTCGGTTCGTGATAACTCGTCCTCGCTCTTACTGATTGATTATAGCATTATTCGCGGTCAAATGGTACTAACATTATTGGTGTTGTATTTTCTGAAAATGACAAGTGACTGACGAAATATGACATTACAGATAGACGGTCAATCGACATCTGGCGTGAATATAATTGGAGTACTTCCCGGTAAGTACCGTAGAACGCCGAAGGACCACATCATTGTGCTCGGAGCCCACTACGACACATTTCAAGAGACCAAAGGTAATCTCGGATTTGAAACTACCCTGTGAACTTCCAATGTTTTAATGCCTAGCTGTCGCCGTATCCTGTTTTATTTGTGTGTGTGTGTGTGTTTTTTAAGGTACTATGTGTTTATTTATTGTGAAGGGGCCATAGGTGTAAGGAAGGGCATATATTCTAAGTCAATCACAGGTGCAGCCACATGTTCACTCCAGTGGATACTCATTTGGAGTTTTTGATTTCCTACATTTCTGGGAGTTTATATCCGACGCCATGTATAGGCAGAAGGGCTCAATGAAGGACGTATACAGGTAAACTCTTCCAGCTAAATATCTCAGTATGCATGCAGTGGAAAAGCTGCACCGAACAGCGATAAATTTGAGCACTAAATAGACACGAGTCAGTAAGCACGTTGCTCACACACAAGTTGCTCTTTCATGTGGCTCAATCAATTAATAGTCGTATGCGGTAATTTGGAAATAAATTTTTTTTTCGCATAGGAATAAAAGAAAGGGCCCCAGCCGCGTTTATTGTCGTTCATAATGTATCCTTACCTTCTCTTCACGATTTAGCTGTAAGCATATAGCTTTTACTTCTTGAGAAAGTACTACTTCGCCGCTTAACCCATTTTTCTGAAAAACACAGCTTATTCAACGCCGCTCAATTCGGGTTCAGAAAATATCTTTCTACAGAATTCGCACTCTTAGTCCAAAAAGAACACATCTTGCATCAATTTGAAAAAAAAAAAAAAAAAAAACTAGTATTTGCTGTTTCCGTAGATTTTAGCAAGGCCTTTGATAGCCTAAGTCACAAGACTCTCTTGCAGAAACTTGAATGTTATGGTTTTCGCGGCGACGTATTAACGCTTCTTAACTCCTACTTAAAACACCGACAACAGTACGTACACTCAAACGACTGTTCCTCTTTAACAAGGCGCATTACGTCAGGTGTCCCGCAAGGAAGCCCCATACTAGGCCCTTTCCTATTTAATATATATGCCAATAATATAGTAAACATAGATAAAAACGCAAAACTAGTTATTTATGCCAACGACACCGGTATTTTTTCTTTTTTTCTTTTTGTTGAGGAGCCAAACTTACTGATAGCACTTGCAAATCAAACCCTATCGAAAGTAGAAACCTGGGCACAGGCAAACTCTTTAAAAATAAACGCAAACAAAACCCAAGCTATTCTCTTTCGTCCAAAAAAGAAAACCGTGATAATTTCAAAGAACCTTGTCTTAAGCATGACACCTATTAAAATTGTTAGCGCCTTCAAGACATTAGGCGTAATTTTTTCTGAAAACATGCGCTGGGATTATCATGTCGAATATGTAATCTCGAAATTGCCCCGCGTCATCAGATTAATAAATCGAAACCGCTCTATTCTTCCAACCTCTGCCAAATTAGTTATTCACACTTTCCTCTTTTTTTCCTACTTAAGTCATTGCCACCTCATCTGGGGTACGCCTACGGCTGGAAACTTGGAAAAGAGATTTCGTCTTCAAAAGAAAATTATAAGAATTATCTGCAACGCTCCATACGACTCCCATACTGCTGGTTTCTTTAATAAATATTCTATTATAAGTATCTATAACTTTAACAATTACAGGTAATTAGCCGCTGGTTTTAAGAAAAAAAAACTAAAACAGGACTTTCAATTTTTGGCAAGTCTTGCCCCCCCGACCAAAAAGGTTATAGCCTATTCCACCCGACATGCCGAATGCTGGAAGACAGTCACTCATAGAACTAATTACGGTCTTCAAATGCTAAAACATACGTTACCGCACTCACCGTCAGTGGCGTAGAAACTTGTTTTTGAGTAGGGGGGCAAACCAGACCCTGCCCCCTCCCCCCCCCCCCCTCCTCCCCCCCCCCCCCCCCCCCCCCCCCCCGGACCGGGGGGGCCGTGCCCTTGGTATCCCGTGGGCGCCGCCGGCCAGTGTTTGCCCTGCCCAGCGGCGGCTGTGCGGCTGTTTCAGGGAGGGGGGGGGGGGGGGGGAATCTCATGCCTTGCCCCCCACTCTGAGAACTGGGGGGGGGGAAAGCGCCCCCCTTGCCCCCCCCCCCCCCCCCTTCCAGTTGGTGTGCCCATGCTCACCGTAACAACTTAAATAGCCGCGACTTGCACTTGGATTCACTCTCCATAAAAGAAATTCGTGATTTTCTTGTGTAAAAACAACTTTGTGTAAACTTTGTGTGCGTTTCGGCAAAGTTTCTCCTGTTTTGTTTGTTAGTTTTGATTTGCTTTCTTCTGCCACTGTAGGGGGCCAGGAACTCGTCAAGTGTTCTGACAGCTTCTTTTTTTTTTCGGTCCCCTTTTTATTAGTTGATGAAAAAATAAAAAGTAATTATAATACACTCACTGACAGCTGAAGGAGAAAAGAGTGTGTCGAGTCCCACGCATCTTGTTATCGCTCCCGCAGCCAATGGGAGTGCAACATCAGCCGATAAGAACACCCCGGAATGAATCACGCATAAAGTCTAGCGTGAACACAATAGGACACGCCCTGATAGTAAGTTCTATCCGACACATTTTCTGCGAGACAAGTGGTTGGTTCCTCAAACAAACGCGCTTCCCAGTTTCGAATTCGGGAAGGAAATATCCGCTCTTCGTTTACACTCTGCTCCAAAGGTAGTAATGGCCAGATGATAGCTCTTGTGAACCTTCAGATATAGCAGCCCATTTAGGTTCTTCCGCAGAGCCACAGAAGGCGATCGCACGAACGCGAAGAAAATCAACCGCAATATAAGGTCGCTGATTACGAGACTGACGCGAAAACTTTCATTTGTTGGCATTACAGCGTGTGTTTCTGTTCTGATAGCTATATATCACGTTGCGCGCACGTGTCTCAGGGGTCAACGACAACGGATCGGGGATTGCTGCGCTGCTCGAAGTGGCGAGAGTCCTCACCCATCACCGCTGTACGCTCGACTACACGGTCATGTTTGTTGCGCTGGACATGGAAGAAATTGTGAGTACGCTAAATTATTATTATCATTACTTTAAAATCATGACTCCACATATAGCGCGAACAAGACATCGGCACGTTTTCATATCTACTTCGAAAGGTTAGAGTTTTAGCATAGCGTTACCGCAGGCTATAACCGCAGACACAGCAACGACGCTGACGCGCGCCACAGCGCGAGCTCCCGGCATAATAGTCCGAAAAATAATCGTATATCTGTTTGTTTTTTTTTTAGATATCTAATGTGGACATTATGTTTACTTGTACTTGCGAAAACTCAATATGAAAATCAACAAAGACGATTATAAGATTGCAGTGATGTGATTGGTCAAAATCATTTTGTAGCATTTTTTTTTTTTTTTGTAGACGAAAGTTAGTTTTAAAGACTCAAAGAGCATGAACATTTAGTCGCGCTTGGCGACGTAAACTTCGCGCTTTCCACTCTTGCCCGCCTCCTCCTTTCCTTTAACCCCTCCACTTTTTACCTTGCCCCAACATGGCTCTCCTTGCAGCTTAGGGAAGGGGAGCGCTAAGAGGACAATCTTTCCTGCAGAAAACCGAGGTTGTACATCAGCCTTTAAAGGGGCCATAAAACAATGTTACTTTGACTAAATACTGCTTTATAATCTACAAAAGGAGCATTCGTTTTTTCTTTCTGCGTACTAGCGGAAGCAGAAAAAAAAAATGGAGAAAACTCAGCAGCGCTTACCTCCTCAACTCACAGCTATACCCGAACAAGCGACCACTGGTCTGGTGCCCGCCAATGTTCATAATAGCCATGTGACGGGGGGGGGGGGGGGGGGGGGGGGGAGCAGGAGGAGGGGGGGGGGGAAGGAGGAGGAGGAGAGGGGAGGGGGTCGGTAGTGCATAGGATTGCGCTGCTGCTGTTCTTGTTAAACTATTCTCGTCACGCAGCGACTAGACACGAAGCCCCACCCCGACTGTCTGCCAACCAAGTGGATTGAGGGTTTGAGGGTTCTGCGGGCGTGTGCTCAATCGGTGCTTCAAAGTGACGGCGATGCAAAGACAAGAGGTTCTTCAGCGGCCCCCAGCGCGCGGGCTTCCTACCCTCGACGACATTTTAGCTTCTCGCGAGCTCCAGGCATGCACGGGCGGCCAAAGCACAAACTTTGGCCGCGCGTGCCTCCAGCACGGTCACGAGCGCGTGCTGAAGGCATCCTGAGACACCCTGGCCTTTTTGTCCTGTCAAACTGTTCACAGTTTTTAAAAGGTTAAAAAGCGCAAAAAACAAGGACAATAAAGACACAAGGACGACAGGACGGGCGCCCATCCTATCGTCCTTCTGTCTTTATTGTCCTTGTTTTGTTTGCGCTTTTTAACCTTTTAAATCATTATGAACCAACTCGCTCAAACACAAGTTGTAATGTTCACAGTAACCGGTCCCAAGGCAAGGGCTCACGCATCGTCACCTCTGGATCAGCAGCATCGTGATCCCCCACGTCAGGAAGCTTTTGTACACGAGAAACTGGAAGAAATAATTCGTTCCTATCAAATATATATGAACAACACCTGGGGATAAAAAGAAGGCACTCGAGAGACATATGTTTACAAAATGTTTGCCCTTAAGGAGATGGTTGTCCAAGGTCGCCAAAAAAAGTGATCTGCAGATACGTTTCGAGCCTGGTAGGCTCTTCGTCAGTCCAAACAAGAACACTTCGTTTTCCTTTTCTTTCAGTCAAAGAAAAAACGGCCGGAAAGAAGAAGAAGTAATTGGAAAAATGCTTAACGTTTAGCGGGTATCTACTCAACTAATTTCTCGCTTAAAAGTTTAATATATCCCGATAAAAAAGCAGCAAATAGTTTTGAAGTAATTAAATATAATATTATTAACGCCATTATTATCACAAAACCAGTTTTTGGGACATGTGGTTGGACATAAGCCAAAAATAGACAGTTTTAGTATAGTTGCTGGATCTTACGTACGCAATACGCGATATAGTATTCGCGACTCCAGCAAAACGGACGCCACCAAGCGGGAAAACCGGGAACCAGCCGGTCCAGGTCGCTCCGCGCCCCTCCGCGTCTCTCCAGTGGTGGCTTTCGCGGAGACTTGTAGTCGGCGCGGTGGCGAGCAATGTAATCTGACGAAGGTCTGATTATTTCTTACGTTTGCCTGAGTGATCATTAGTGTGGTGAAGCCTCAGTAGATTGTTTCCTTTGAAAGCCCGTTTACTCCACAGCACACGGTCGCGTGCTTTCGATTTCTTGGATGGGGAGGAATCGCGGAAAAACGTTTTGATGTCTTGTCTGTCTCGAATCACATTCAAAGTGACGTTTACTTGGTAACTGATAAGTGGTTTCTTTATAAGGATGTAGAACAGTCGACTGAGGACGACAGACGAGGCATTTCACTGGAGGGAACATCAATGTTGCAGTGAAGTGAATGGGAAGGTTCGATAATTGCTTTACTTGAGTTTGGTTGTGTTTGCTTAGCTTCAAGTTTGAGCCACCCACGCCGGTCGGTGCGTTGGCTATTCATCTTGGCTGCTTTTCGCCGAAAAAGCCTCTGGACCACCCTGAAGGAGTTGGGCTGATTTCGCAATCACTTGATTCAGGAAAACCTGCTCGCTGCAAATGATGAATGAGGGAAATTATCTGTTTTCAAAAGGTGGGGGACGAGTCTCGCAACGTTAGATGTTGTCACGGCATTTTGACCTATCGCGCCTCCAATATTTATATTACGAGGACGTCGAAGCCAGCAGCAAAATACGTCTACGTTGCTCAGGTTGACCGGCTACAAAAAATACTCATTGTCTCCATTCAGGATTCGAAGCAAAGTTCAATGCAGAGAGGTTCCGCGTGAATGTCCGATGAAGACTCTCTTCAGTTTGTCTCCGTGCTGCCGGCTATAGAACCATTTGGCTAAGTTTAAGTAATACCTCTCTGTCTGTCAAATATACTTTTATTCAGCAGCTCACCTAATAGCTAGTCAACTAAGCTCATATAGTAACCCGAAGAATATACTAATATCGCTTTAGTGGGACATAGTACGTAATATAATACACAACCCGCTCGTCGAAATGACTTCTCGATTGCTACTAAAACCTGAATTGAAATACGAGTATCAGCTGCTTAGTGGGGCGCCAGCGGGTTAACATGGTCCTTGGCTCAAGAAGCGCTTGCTTAATTTTTGTAATTTTCCTGCAGCCCGTGTTGTTGACCGAGCAGACGACTGGAGCTGTTTCTTAAACGCGGATACGCACAAAAGCTCGATTTCGCGGACAGATAAGTCGCATGGTCGAGGCATGCGAGTTAGCTGAAAAGTTACTCACCGTGGAGCAATTCTGTAGTCATCGCCGCTTTCCTTAGATGATCAAAACTGATTAGAGCCTATTACCGCCTCTCCGCAGCCCCATAGTTTCGGTTTTGGACGAAATCTCCGAAACGAAAGTTTGACATTAAAAGAAGAAAAACCACCGGCAAAACAAAACTATGCTTTGCAAGTTTATCTGCACCGGCTACACTTAACCGTCTCAGTTCAAATACCTATAAAATTGGGCATTAAACAGAAGAAAATCTGTTAAATTGAGCGCGCCACCTGCTCAGGCGGCCCGGCCGAGCCGACGCGACCTGGACTCAGCCGCCATGTTTGTTTTGTGGTGGCGCCCCCTATAGGTCGCTGGAGTCGCGAATAGCGTACGCTAAAAATGACCTGCTGGGACCGAATTTAGTTGTGCGTTACGTTTTCGAGTGAACACCGCGCATGATCTTGGTGAAATTTGCAAGAGCCGTAGAATTCCGCATGCTTATAGCGCAACCATGCTCCTGGAAAGAAATATTGAAAAAGAAAACGTGTCCAATCTTTTTATTTCAGACTACGAGTACGAGTGCGGAGCCAAATTCGATCACGGAGCCTCCGTCAGTCGTCCCGTGGAAACGGCACCTTTTATCAATGCTATCGCGGAATGAAATTCATGACCCTGATGTCCAGTGCATAGCGAGAACTTCGGCGATTTCTTTTAGAGTCGTTCGTCCGTCGGTGATGAATTGTGGGAATAGGCTTAGCGTTGAGCAGATCGCAGCGTCGACGCACACTGCGAGCGGCGAACATTTCCACTGTGCACTCCTTCAGCTGCAGGGCGATCTGATTCGACCGCGGTAGGTCCCAGAGAGAATTGCCGAGCTGAACACCACGCAATATCACGTAACACAGAACTTCGAAAACACCACGTCGCCCTTGCTGCGCCAGTCGAGGCAGTCGCCATCTTGAAACTGGCGCTCTCGTTGGGTCCGAGATCTCTCGAGAGCGTCCCGCAAGCCCCGCTAGCCAGCAACGCAAAATCCCCAGCGTTGCGTGCGTACGCAATACGCTAGCCCTTCTATTGCGTTCTGCGCATGCGCACTCACGACCCGCAATCTCCTTGCGTACGCAAAGCTATAGCGTACGGTCCACTAAAACTGTCTTATACCTGGTGTCATGTGAAGACAATGAGAGGCCCAATGTTAAGCGTTTGCTCGTGTCACATTAAACAATGAAGCGAGAAAGAAAAAAAAAACAGTGCGGCACCGATTATAAGATCTCAATTAAAGGTCAATAAAAAAAGACGGCAATGACCCTTTCGAACTGTTAAGGCTCTAAAGTATTAAATTTATAAATAAATTCAGATTCTTTATTTTTTCGATCTCTGGTGGTTCAAAAGCTCCCCTGGAGTATAATGAAATTAAAATCAGAAAGTCCGTTACGTCGTGCGGAGTTTAAGTGACGAGAAACTGGTCCGGTAACGTGTTTACGTATGTTACTTTTATGTAGATTCATGCGTTTTCTTCTGCTTGTTTTAGTTTCTCCTGTGTATTGAATTAGGCATTTTTTTTACATTCAATCAAATAAATAACATTTTCCGAATTACAGTCAAAGGTATCATTTATTTTCCAGAAGTTTTTTTCTGTGCTACGAATAGAGTTAGCTATAATTATATCAACACATAAACTGCATTGGTTATTATTGCATTTTATGCAATCAAGAGGGACCAGGCTACGTCCGATGG